GGGGGGGGTCCATGTGGGGGGGAATTGAGGAAAATGGTGAAAATACATGATTTTTAAAGAAAATTTTCAGGCTGGGGTTCCTGTTGTCCGAATTATTCTGACGTTTTATCGACTTTTTTTTATATCGGTCTGTCGTCGATTAACGACAGACCGATATGAAAAAAGTCGATAAAACGTCAGAATAATTCGGACTAGGGTTCCTGAAGCCCTAAAAAAAACTCTGGATCCGCCACTGGACTATTTCATATTAAAAAATACTTACCGGACCCCATATTAAGTTATTATTATCCTGGTTCTTTTCATTTCAGGTATAGATGTCCACTAAAGATTTGTGTTCAATCACTGAATTATAAGCGTACTGAATGAATTCTTAGATACTTGTATACATTACTTACATCAAACTACAAAATGTATACTCTCATAAAGTGTGTCTTGTTAATTTTTTCCATAATTAAAAATAAATGTCTTGTAAAGAGATGTGAAAGAAACGTACACTATTTCTATCAGTTAGCACACTAATGATTTGTCAAAAATATTAATTCATTCCATAATTATTAAATGGAATTATGGAAAAGGGGAGATAACTCGTTTATACATAACAGTGTGTCTTTTATTACACCGAAAAATATCTATACAGAATATAGACAATTCTCAAAAAGTCTACTATCATGAAGTTTTAAATTTGTATTATTGATCAATTTCAACAAAGTTACAGTGATTACATGTCTACCTTATTCGTTTCGTCTTTTTTTCTTATTGTGGAAATTTACATCAATCACTGATGCTCGGAAGCTCTTCCATTTTGTTGCTAATACAATGATAAAATGCGAAAGGCTCCGATACATTTTTACATGAAAATGTTTACGTAGTTGCATCAAAAATATCTCCTGCTTGTCGCATAATAATTTAAAGACTGGGTTATTAAGTGTTATTTTGTTTACACTCAGGAAACAGGAAACTAGACCAGTCTTGTCAGGAATCTGAACACAGCGCCGGTGAGATAGGTAAGCTATCATTCTGCAAAGATTGTTTGATTGGCGCGACGTAATTAAGATGAATTATTTGATCGCGTATATGTTCACATTACAGGCTAACTATCAAAATATTGGATCCAAAGCGGTTAATAATTGGCAACATTGCCGATCGCGACCGGGTTACAACACAGCCTGACAGTATTTCGAAATTCTTGTGCAAGTCACAGAAAATGAACCAAATCCTAGTTTGAAGGATTTTAGGAGTGGATAAGCAAACTTACTTGTTTGTTTCCTACAAAAAACAAAAGAAGTCAATACAAAAATGTGCTTCTCCTCCCTTGATATCCCGGGTATTTCAATTTGTGCGGGCGCGGTACAACTTGCAATGTCATATAAGTTCATGGATCATCGATCAATAATTAATTATGTCAATAATGGGGTTTCGGGGCTCTGACAGACGGAAATTGCTGAGTTAATCGATGAGAGTAATTTCTGAAAAGGCAGTTTCTTCACGTTGTTTACCAGCAATGTTTAATTTTACCTCGACAGTTCAAGATCACTTTATTAATAACGAATTAGAGACACCTTGGCCCCTATTCACTCTCATCCTCAGACAATTAGGTCCCGGTACTTCCTTTTCCCACTATTTTACTAGCCCCGTCTGTCAATACACCTATAATATACAGTACGTCTTATAAAGGTTGATAACTCGGTCCCCCTAGTAAAATGACCGCCACCCCCTTCCAGAAAACCTGCAATTTTGTCAGAACTGTTCATATTGATATTACGTCGGAAGCAGCCTAGATCATCAGGATTTTTTTTAATTTGATGTATGATTTCTCATTTATCATGCAGTTTAATTTTTTTCGGTAGACATCATGAAACATGGAAAAATGGATGTATTTCATTGGTTGGACACTGTGTTGTCCCCTGGATGACATGCTAAATCCTTAGCATGAAGTACATTATTCAATGTCAGTACAGTGTTTCTGCGATAGGAAATACACTTAATTGATGGTTCATTACCCTTACACTATCATGTGAGTTTATTGTCAGACACCAGAGTGCAGTTTTCAAGCTGGGCAGGCTGACGAAAGGAAATCTTAACGGACAGCCATTTTCTCAAACCTTTGCGACATCGACCCTGATTGGCCAGCTGTCATATTTAGAAGCCAATTCAATCAGCATTAAGGAGTTAACAATCTTGTTTGCTAGTACCTGCTTATATGTAGCACAAGGAAGTCAAATTTAAAATCTTAAAAGTAATTTAACCTCTGCGGCTGATCATGAGGGGCCAGATAAAGGCCTTAGGGATCAAACTTGATTTAAATGACTTCATGATCCAACTTATATTACAGACTTCAATTAATTGCAGTGGTAGCATGCTCTACCCATGTGGATCAAAATTAAAGTAATTAAATAATAAAGGGTCTGAAAGGCAATGTTAATGGAATCAAATCAGATGGTATGCTTCAATGGCATCTTCTCCAACACTACAGGGCATGTAGTTTATCAGGTAAAAGAGGTCAGATATATATAGATTGGAAAATTTGCTTTGACAGTCATCTGTTCCAAAGGGAAAACTACTTTATAGGTTACAACCAAAATGTTGTGATAGCTACATGTACACTACAGCATCCTAAGCACATGAGGATAAAAAAGTATACAATAAAACAATGCCTTTGTGCTTTGCTCCCAAACAACTGAGCAGATTTAAGTTTTATTTCCAAAATAGCCAGGTGAAGCGAATCGAAGGTGTTTAAGCCTCTCATTTCATAAATATTCACAATTTTATATGTGTACAAATGTGTATGCAGAATGAAAACAATTTCTTTTATTTGTTTCAGAAAGAGATTGTTTCAGCCACTGATTGTTACAGTGTTTAGTGATCAGAAGTGACGATGGGTGATTCTGGTTCGAGGGCATGTTTTATAATTTTGGGAGTAATAGTTGTTATTGCTGCCTTAGTCATTGGCTTGGTCACCACGTCACTGAAAAAACTCGCCAGCGATGAAGGTTCCTCATCACTTATTTAATTTATTTAGTTACTAATACATGTTGTTGTATGACAGGGATTCATCTAGGTCATCTTCATACCTGTTATGGGTATTCTACTCTTCCCCCACGCCCCCGTTAAATATTCAATACCTTAAAATTCATTCTTTTTTGTCAAATTGTTATCATGTTTGATGTAAAGATCCTCCATAATTTTTGGATTTAGCATTTGACATGTTCATGTTATGAATAATTAATCCAAAAATACATCAATAGTATTATTAAAAAGAAACAAAAAATGAAAAAAAAACAAAGAAGAAGCACTATCAACTTTCTGAAAGTACACTTTGTATCTCAACAATTGCCTTTTAGTGTTTCTAATTTTGATTTCTTTCTTTCAAATCATAAAATACTAACTTTGAAGCTAACAATTTATACTTTCAAAATGGTTGCTTCAAAATTAATTATATCTATAACTATTTGATGACTCTGTAGACTCCTTGTCAGAACAATAGTTATCTCCCCTTATACCTACGTGTAGAGTAATCCCTGTTTAGGATTAGATTGTGGTGCTGAAATCATAACACATCCATTTATTTATAGGGCTGATTATCTTTGTGTGCTTAAGTTAGTGCATTAATATTTTGCTTACTCTGGTGGAGCGTCTGATTGTAATTACCACAACAAATTTGTAAAACTTAGTCATAATACCAGGTAGCCGGGATTTAATTCAGTTGAGTCTTGGCATTTACCAGTAGCAATTTTAGAAGTCAGAAAGTCTTTTTTTCCCTTAAACTTGGAAAGTTAAAACACATGTCAGTTACACATATATACATGTCCGTTCAAATCCGAGAGTCGGAGCTAATTTGTGGGAGTCAAAAGGAAACTAGCAAGGCTCTTCTGAAAGCCTGAGGTATACCTGGTTAATAACTTTTTGAAAAAAAAAATCCAGACAATGCAAAGTTAAAATTTCAAAATTAAACATTTTGTCGATAATCAATTATTTTAATTTGAAAATTGTTTATCAAAAAATAAGGCTTTCATCAGTTGACTTTTAGACATTTAGAATGTCAGAATAACAATTTTCCATCTGAAGGCCATGATCAGAACATGTACCCAATTCAAATAGAAATGTGTTTTCAAAAACGTAAGTCAAAATTAATATTTGGTTATCAAAAACACTCTGCTAAAGGTAAATGAAAACCCTGAAAGATTATTTTGTGGATTGTGATGTAATTATTAACAGACTGTAAGATGCCTTTGTGGGTAAATTACCTGGAATACCAAAAATCAAAATTCTCAAATTGATTTCTGGTGGTCCAGTATATACCATATTTAGAATTGTTGTGAAACCACTTTTTAAGCTTGACTTCATTCCTGTATTTGACCTACAGAATTCTATAGCACTTCATTTTATATGCACTGCACCTTGTTTTATGCTTACAGTCATTTTCCTCGTGAACATTTCAGCTATAAAAATCATTTCATATTCTAGTTAAACAATCTTTGCCTCTTTTTATTCTACAATTTGCTTTTGCATGTACCCAGGTACATTTGTATGTACAATATTTGACCTAATAAGTACAAGTTCCCTTAAACATTTGTACAACCCTACCTTATTCCTGGGAAAGAGGATGGGTGGACTTTATTAAAACTTGTAAAAATGTTGCTTACCTCAATTCTCTGCCAATTTAATATTCAGCCTTTTGACTAAAAGCTTTGTGCCCTTAACCCTTTCATGTAACTTGAGTGAACTCTACCATGCATTAATCTGGATGAGTCCATTATGGTCTACAGTGGTAACAGGTTTAAGGATTTACGTTATTGGGCAATGTATGCCAATGGTCTAGATAGAGTAGGCCAGTTGTCTCTGTTAAGTTATTTGACTTGTCCTTTGAAAATTTGTAGAGTGCTGCTTTAACAGAAATATTGAAATACCATGCTTCAAAACATTCTGGGGAGAACACTGCATACAGGAGTTAATGTTGCTTTCCATAGATTGCTCATATCATGTTGGTTTACATTTTACACAATTAATATTCACCGCTGTTAGTGAAATCATGCAAACTTAACAACCAACAAAAATTTAACTAAAATGTGTGTGTACCTTTACTCTATTTTATACTGCATGAATATATACACAGAATTTATCACCTGAATAGCATGTCTACACTCAAATTAGCCTGTTTACACCCAAAATAGCATGTCTACACTCAAATTAGCCTGTTTACATCCAAAATAGCATGTCTACACCCAAAACAGCATTAATAATACACCCAAAATAGCCTTTTTACACCCGAAATAGCATGTCTACACCCAAAATAGCATTTTTACACCCAAAATAGCATTCTACAACCAAAGTAGCATTTTTACAGCCGAAATAGCATGTCTACACCCAAAATAGCAAGTTTACGCTCAAAATAGCAAGTTTACACCCAAAATATCATGTCAATACCAAAAATACCATGTCTACACCCAAAATAGCCAGCTATTAAATTCCAAAACAGCATCTTTACATCAGAAACCGCATGTTAATACGCTTTAAATAGCATACCTATGCATATGTTTACACTGGAAACACAAGACAGTAAGTCTACATAAATCTAATAGCAGCAATATATATTGTACAACAAGAGATTTTACCAAAGATCATCCTGTCGCTGTCCTCACCTATCCTCTTCATGCCAGTCGGCATTTAAGGCCCTCTGTCGCTGTCCTCACCTTTCCTCTTCATGCTGGACGGCATTTAAGGCCCTCTGTCGCTGTCCTCGCCTATCCTCTTCATGCCAGTCGGCATTTATGGCCCTCTGTCGCTGTCCTCACCTATCCTCTGCATGCCGGTCGGCATTTAAGGCCCTCTTTCGCTGTCCTCACCTATCCTCTTCATGCTGGTCCGCATTTAAGGCCCTCTGTTGCTGTCCTCTCCTATCCTCTTCATGCCGGTCGGCATTTAAGTCCCTCTGTCGCTGTCCTCACCTATCCTCACCTATCCGCTTCATGCCGGTCGGCATTTAAGGCCCACTGTCGCTGTCCTCACCTATCCTCTTCATTCCGGTCGGCATTTAAGGCCCTCTGTCGCTGACCTCACCTATCCTCTTCATGCCGGTCGGAATTTAAGGCCCTCTGTCTCTGTCCTCCCCTATCCTCTTCATGCCGATCGGCATTTAAGGCCCTCTATCGCTGTCCTCACCTATCCTCACCTATCCTCTTCATGCCGGTCAGCATTTAAGGCCCTCTGTCGCTGTCCTTACCTATCCTCTTCATGCCGGTCGGCATTTAATGCCCTCTGTCGCTGTCCTCACCTTTCCTCTTCATTCTGGTCGGCATTTAAGGCCCTCTGTCGCTGTACTCACCTATCCTCACCTATCCTCTTCATGCCGGTCGGCATTTAAGGCCCTCTGTAGCTGTCCATGGGTCATTAAATAATTGTGTACCCTTAATAGGTTCAAAGAGCTGTTTCTTTTGGTGTTTGTGGAATCAGATTCATATGACAGTCTTCTTGGTTTACAAAAGCAACTCTTTCCCTCCATCAGTCTCCTGTCTGCTATCTTGTAAACAAATTATGCATAGATATATAATATATATCTACTCTAGCCTCTTATTGAAATCAGAATCAGAATCGCAGGTTAATCATCTTCTGTCTTCTGCTAATTATATAAAGAGACATTTCATTAAAGAAACCATCTTTATCTCTTCTTTTATACCTTTGCACCCATCTTCATGATAACCATAGCTTTAGGACAGAATGTATAAACCATGTAGAACCAATCAAATCCCTTGTTATTTTCAGGTACGGCTACCTCTACCTGCAATTTTGCATGAGGTGCATATTGGCTGATTTAATTAAACTTCATTTTCCAAAATTTGAAATAGATCTACATGTATATAACTGCATGCAAAATATTGTATGCATGTCTTTTATTCTGTATTTTGCAGTGGAGGGTATCCCAAATAAATTAACTTTGCCAGTTTGAAACTCCTTGCATTAGAAAATGGCTTTCGACGAAGCTACTAAAAGGAAATGTTTTATCGTCGGAGTCGTTGTGGTCGTTATTGCCGCTATCACAATTGGTTTAGTGTCATCGTCATTGAAGAAGCTTGCCTCTGATGAAGGTATGCATGTGTTTCTGACCACAGCTAGCTTAAGTAAACTTTACGATTCCATTAGACACGTATAACATTTCTTTTCCCAGTAGACAGAAGTTAATCTTTATTTGACACATATCGTTTTGACACATTAACTTAATTTCATAGACACAAATTTTATAATACACAATTTCAAACTTCTTTGAAGTTAATTTTTATTTAACACAAGTAGCATTTAAATTTGAGACAGATTTCATTTTGCCAAATTTTGATTCAATTACTCATTAAATTTAATTAGATACAAATTTCATTTGACAAATAAAGATTTCATTGAAGGCAAATGTGGTTTTGATTTATTACATTCTGATCATGATGACACGCTTTACATGTGTCACTCGTATGCATTTTATCAATCGACAGCTTCAGGAAGCTAGGACATACATAAATAACATATATATGTATATACTTAATAAGGGATTTCCATCCTTATCCCCACAAATTTCGTATTTAAGGAGAAATCACAATCTTAAACATTCAGGAAAATACAGGGGTTTATCGATCTGAACCACTCAATCCATGACTTACTTGTTATCTGAACATTGTAGTGATTTAACTTTTGGAAATAATTGGTGTTCATAAATCTGTTAACACAGCTATTGTACTCGCATCTCTAATGGTATTTCACCCCCAACCGTATTTTTAAACACCAATAAACTAAAATTCAACCTTTACCATTCACAAACAAAATGGATAGTAAGGGATATATGTATATTGACACCAGAAGGTCTAGAAATCAATCATAAGGCCCCCAAACAGCCTTATAGACCCTCATCCTGTGATCCTTTGATATATCAGTACTATTGTAAGTAAACTTGAATGAGTTTATTTGTAACTGTTATTTCATGATCACTTATAACCCTTTCACCCCTATGTAACTTTAGTAGACTCTACCACACATGTATATGGTTGAGTCCATTATGGTCTACAGTGGTGTAAGTCTTGCTTCATTCAAATTTTAGTATGATTTTCCTTTTAGCTGCATTTTTGTTTATTATTTATCAGAAACACGGACACGCTGTCATTTTGCTGAAGTGTAGTATGAGAAAATGCACAAACTTTTAGCTGTGATATTGTATTCCCCTAAGAAACATGGACATATATTACCCTTTATATATTAGTGGCTGTGATGTTGTGATCTGTAACTATGTACTTATACATACAATATTTAATTAACATTTTATATCAATTCAATCTTTTTTATCTGATTTCAAATTAGTCACAAGATTCAAAATATACTATATATCAGAACTCTTTCTTGTTGCAAGCACACTCATGATTCAATAAAACACTCTTTACACATCATAAAAAAATATCTTTGATAAAAGTGATGCAGTTAGTTCAATCCCAACCATCACAGTATTTGGTCAACAAACTGTATATAATAGACTGAATTGTAATTTGGAATATGTGTATATTAAACTAGATTACTGGTGCTGGCTACTCCCTCAACTCTGATTGGCTAGTTCATTCTGGATAACTTTTATCTGATACCAGTCAATCTTTTTTGATACTTACAAAATTGTAACATTGAGGTCAAGTACAAAGATGAGTCAATTTTTGAACATGGTTGGGTATACGTAACTCTCGTAATTTTGCAACTATGATTAGTAGGGCTGTCACAATACATTTGTATATCAGAAACTAGGTATATCGCAATACACAGGTAAATTGTATCGTACCACAATACAGAGGTGAAATATTGCTGTATCGCAATATTGTTTTTAAACCTTTTTTAGGTCACCTGAGCTTTAGCTCAAGTGACCTATTGCTCTCCGTTTTCGTCCGTCGTCCATCGTCCGTCGTCCGTTAACATTTTACATTTCAAACTTAAAGTCAAGTTCTGCTGGGCCGATTAAACTGAAAGTTGGTAGGAATGAGCGCCTCATGGTCCTGACAAAGTGTTGTTATTTTTCGGGTCGATCAGAAATCCAATATGGCCGCCACGGCCGCCATTTTTAAAACCTATTTCAAACTTAAAGACAAGTTCTGCTGGACCGATTGAACTGAAAGTTAGTAGGAATGATCGCCTCATGGTCCTGACAAAGTGTTGTTATTTTTCGGGTCGATCAGAAATCCAATATGGCCGCCACGGCCGCCATTTTGAAAACCTATTTCAAACTTAAAGTCAAGTTCTGCTGGACCGATTGAACTGAAAGTTGGTAGGAATGATCGCCTCATGGTCCTGACAAAGTGTTGTTATTTTTCGGGTCGATCAGAAATCCAATATGGCCGCCACGGCCGCCATTTTGAAAACCTATTTCAAACTTAAAGTCAAGTTCTGCTGGACCGATTGAACTTAAAGTTTGTAGGAATGATCGACTCATGGTCCTGACAAAGTGTTGTTATTTTTCGGGTCGTTCAGAAATCCAATATGGCCGCCACGTCCGCCATTTTGAAAAACTATTTCAAACTTAAAGTCAAGTTCTGCTAGGCCGATTGAACTGAAACTTTGTAGGAATGATTGACTCATGGTCCTGACAAAGTGTTGTTATTTTTCGGGTCAATCAGAAATACAATTTGGCTGCCATGGCCGCTATTTTGCTACTAAGTTCTAATAGGCCGATCTCACTTAAAATTGGTCTATTAATGATCAGCTCATGGTCCTGACAAAGTTAAGTTAACATTATACTATTTTTTACTCAAATTGGTACATATTTCAACAACAAAAAATAAATACTGTAGACTCAGGTGACCGTTTAGGCCCATGGGCCTCTTGTTGATGTATCTCATTCTGTTTGGTGTTTTAACTTTGCAAATTGCTACAAATTCCAACAAATAAGCCAATTAGTATAAAGCTGCAGGCTTTAATAGTGGTGGGAATTAGTTCAAACTTTGTAATCAATGGTTGGTTTGACAAAAATCTTAAATCTATGTGATCCAATATTATATATGATTAAGTTTGTTAACATTCTGACAACAGCTTATAATAAAATTGAGCACATCTTTCCCATGACAATATATCGGGATACGTATCGCAATATATCCATTCTGTATCGCAACATATGGTGATACAGTCTTGGCGTATTGTGACCCCCCTAATGATTAGCCGATGCAATAATCACTTAAACAATTAGATGTGGTATTGCTTCAATTAGATGTGGTATTGCTTCAATTAGATGTGGTATTGCTACAATTAGATGACGTATTGCTATAATTAGATGTGGTATTGCTACATTTAGATGTGGTATTGCTACAATTAGATGTGCTATTGCTACAATAAGATGTGGTATTGCTACAATTAGATGTGGTATTGCTACAATTAGATGTGGTATTGCTACAGTGTATCTATGTGCTTACAGGTATAGGTCTAGGCTACAGTGTATCTATGTGCTTACAGGATAGGTCTAGGCTACAGTGTATCTATGTGCTTACAGGTATATAGGTCTAGGCTACACTGTATCTATGTGCTTACAGGTATAGGTCTAAGCTACTCAAGGTTGACTTAGATCGTCTGTTACAAAAATCTAAACATGGGGTCGATATGCTACATACATTGGAGTATCTGAGACCGATGATTAGCCAATCAGAACCGAGGAAAACCACACCATATACAATAAATTTAAAGGAGCATATATATGTATCACAATTCAGGTTAATTTTACAAGTTTGCATGTTTTTTCTGCACTTTTAAATGTATAAATATATACAAATTAATTGGTTGTGGGCTGTGGAATGTATAATTTAAATATGCATGCTGCATCTTCCCACCAAAGCAACATATATACCTTTTGTAATTTTTCTAACAATGCAAATGTATATTATTGTATATATATTTTAAGTATCAGGGGGTTGAAGAAACTGTTTTAGTCACTAGGAAAAGTGTAGCAAGTGGTCTAAAATTTAATTGCTAATTAACTAGAAACTCATGATGACAGAACTGTATGTTCCTTCATCATATATGAAAACCTTATATACTGTTATAGGAATGTATTGATGCCTATATAGGATTATAAGGATATCTTGCCAACAACAGGTTGGTGATCATGAATATCCATATTGTATTTTTTTAGAGACGCTAAAAATCTACTTGCAGAAATTTGCAAAGGAGGGGTTATTATTTTAGCTTGTAGATTCTTGATATAAACCGGCATTTTGCTGTAGTACATACATATGCATGCATGCTGTATCACATACATTTAGACAATTGGATTATAAAAATATTACAACTAACTTATTCTAATTTCAAAAGTTTAAAGCTGTAAAGTCAAAAAGATACATGAATGTTGTAATTTGACATTAGAATGATGCATTTTTACAAGACTGAAATGTTCTTCCGAATTAATAATTATACGATGATGGTTCATATACCAGTAAAGCATTCCTTGTCTTAATTTCTTCCTGTTCATTTAAAAATGTTCATTGGATAATTGTGTAAAGTAATTCCTTGTAATTGGTAAAAAAAAAAATATGGAAATTGTTAGGCTTTAATTCAATTTATTTAATGCCATTTGTGGCATTTGTAGGAGAGGGTTAGCTATAAAAGCGAGGTGTCAGATTTACATATTTACAAACATTGTCTGAAAAATTCCTTTAATATCCCTAATTTTAAGCAAATAAAAAGAGTGCAACAAATTTAGAGTTAAGACAAATGTTTGAATTATATCTAGACTATTACATTAATATCATAAGCAATAATACATGAAATTGAATTGTACTATCACAATTATGTATAGCTTAATCACAATGTAATGATGTACATATTGTGTTATTTAGTGGGAATCCAGTATGATACGATTCAAAGGAACCTTGCCCAGGACGTCAGAAAGGAAGGTCTCCATACCGGGCCTCCTGGATTTGAGTTTATCATCTTTCCCAGCGTCTACCGATCCATGGCCTTCAATGACCTGACTGTATGTTGGCTTTTTAACCATACCATTCTTTTTAGATATTTAAAACAGGATTAAAGTCTATTGCCATTCAATTGAATTGAGAATTTGAAAATTTTATATACATTTTTTTAGATGATATGTATATTGAAATTCTAGTATATTATATGAATTTTGATAGTTGAAGGGGTTGCTGGAACTCTGGGAACTCTGGCCTTCCTCCACCACCAAAACCTGACAGGTTTTTGAATGACCATAGCTGTTAATAGGACTTAAAACACTAACTAACCAAAATGATAGTTGAATGTTGCTTGAGTAATCATTTTGAGCTATTGCTATGGGTCTTCATTGGTCATGTATTGTCTGTTAACAATTGAATATTTTGACTACTTATAAACCACCGAAACTGTTGATTCCAAACTTGGTTCAAATTATTGTTATGAGGTCTTGACCAACTGTTATAATTTTATTGACAATTTTGAAAACCAAGATGGCCACCAGTACCCTAAGCTCTTATTTGGAGAGACATTTTCAACCTCTTCCTAAGAAGAGTTGCAGATATTTACATGAAATTTGATACAGGTGTTCCTTATAAGGTTCTGACCAAACGCTTGCATACATGCTCTGGCCTCTGATTGGCTGACATGTTTTTTGCTACTCAAGCACAGATACGGTGGTTGACTTTAAACATGGCACAGATGTGCCTTAAACTTATGGCCCATGAAACTCATATGAGCATTAAAGTCCTTTTTGGGCTTTTGTTTAAAGTTCCAGTGATTTTTTTTGCTCAGTTTTACAGCCAAATACAGGCTATTTCCCCAAGGTAAAAAGTGCCTTATTTTCCAAAATAACCAAATAATGAGGAATATATTCCCAATTTCAATAAAAGTATCGCTTTATTTTCTCAATTCATTAAAGAACAGGCTGTTGTAAAATGTAGGTAAAACAAACACTGAGTTCAATTGTCCCAACAGGGCCATCGGAGCTACATGTATAGTGTACGTGTGTCGTGATGTACTGTCCCTCCACTCTCTATCCATCAACTTTTCCTTTCAACTGCTGCTTATCCACATGGGCATACGATCTGGGCCTCCTGTTCTGAACAATAATGTACATACACTTAAAAATAGAACATTTCTTGAATTTTAGTGTCTGAACAAAGATGGCGTACAGATTGTTCTGGACGTGACCTATCAGTACAAGGTCAAGGCCCCAAAGCTCCGTGAAGTGATCGTTGACTTCCGTGATTACGACGGCTACAAGGATGTTCTGAAGTATGCAGGTGAGAAACTGTGTCGAGGACGTACAACTGACTTAGGGACATAAGTTCTGCTGTGTTAAAATTACCTCCCTTAGTCTCTTAAGACATGATAAAAAATCATTAGTATTGTCAATGCATTTTCATCAATTTATAGAAATTGTTTCCAAAGGAGCATGGACTTTAACCCTTTCACCCCTATATAACTTTGGTAGACTCTACCTTGCAATAGTTTGGATAAATCCATTAGGTCTACAGTGGTGAAAGGGTTAAAATTACTTTTTTGGGCTACTAGTGTGGACTTTCAGCTGCATGTATAAACTGTGGAATTGCATCAGAACTATATTGTACATGTCCTCCTACAGTACACAATACTGTTTGTTAGTATCTGTGGGCCAAAAATACCAGCTTCTCTCAGTTGTACAGGTGTATTAAAAGGTTCATATATTTCACATGTTGTTTGTCTGACCACTGACATTTTACTGACTTTAATGACCCATCTATCCAGTCATTTTCACCAGACAAATGACCAGTAAAGCATATTGTAGACTTGGATGTTAAAAATGTACAAGATCGCATATGGATCAACAAGTCTATTTGAAACTTCAAATTTTCACACCAAAGCTAAGCTAATTGGCCTAGCCTGTAATTTAAGTGGCTTGCCTGTTAATTAAGACCTCTCAGTGACCAAAGTCAGTGTGAATCCATGTAGCTATTGTTTATTTACTAAGATCGACCAATGGGACCGATCGAAAGTAGTAAGAAATGTGTCTCACGCTGTGAGGAATTTTTCTGAAGTTTTTTTGTGAGTCTCAAGATCAAATCGTTATATATGGCATGCATGCCAAAATTGAGCAGAATCTTTGATTTTAATTATTTCAGTCCAATATAGAAACAGGGTGTGACTATCATTGTAGGTCAGTCAGCTCTCCATGAGTCCTGCAGCCAGTTCAACACCTCCCAATTCCAGTCAGAGAGAGGGTCATTCCAAGAATTGGTCCGAGAAAAGCTCAAGACAAGATATGGGGAGTTGAACGCTGGCATCACAGATCTACAGGTCAATGTTAAAACGTCGCCATTAGTCCACCAGACTGTTCCATTGGTTCACTTGAAATTTTTCAACATTAGTTCACCAGAATTTGTTTCCATTGGTACTCTTGAAATTGACCACCTTTATATAATTTGTCCACCAGATTTTCTTTTTGCTTTTAAATATACTGGAATTTTGTCATTATTAGTACACCGGCATTTACATGTACACTTTGATTTGTCTTTAATTGACCAAAATTTTATCAAAATCAAAATCAGTACATTTTACAGAAATTAGTCCACCAGAAGCTTTTCTAGAAAAATGGGTGCCTCATTTAGCAATGGTATTTCAGCTAAGCTATTTAAAGAATTTAAAAGGAGGACTAGAAACATCAAAAAGTTATGATCCTTCTAACAATGTTTATGAATGATATCATCTTTGTCTGAATTTAGGATTGTAGAAAAATGCAGGCAAAAATTGAAATGAAAGAACATATATCTGTATTGAAAGTTGTCTGGATTATTTTTAAGGTCAGCAACATTGCCCGCCCTGCTGAATATGAGAGTGCCATCAGGAGCAAAGAGAGGGCAAGAGAAGATATCAAGGTAACACCAAACAGAGTTATCTTTCTTTGGATCCACCACTGGATTAGTGTATGTTTTATGCAGAGGTTGTTTTGTGTAAACTTGTAACATGTTTATCACTGTTTGTTATTACGAGATTTTTAGGTCACCTGAGCTTTGCTCAAGTGACCTATTCCAATCGCTTTTCGTCCATCGTCGTCCGTCGTCCGTCGTCCGTCGT